TATACAACTGGGGTAGCCTGAGTAAACAGGTTACAAGAACAAAATTTAGGATTGATTCCTTCACTGCCAACCAGACAGAATGGCATCTTGGTCAGTAGGTAGGGTGTGGATATTACCTATCACAATGTGTTGGCTTAATTGCTGAAAATTTTGCCAATGATAATCTAGGGAAATAGCTCCATGGAGGGACTTCTATGGCAGACATATAGTTATAGACATCTGAAAAATATGGAAGCAACAATACCTACAAAGATAGTGGAGTTGGCTGGTTACTGCTACATAATAATGAAGCTCTAAAGAGCATGATAAGAGACTGAGCATGATTTTTTTATTGCTTAAATACCTTCTTTTTACAGGAGTGCAAATGTTTTTGTTTACATGCATTAATTTTGTTATGCTTGAGTCAGGGTTATAAGAGTGCCCATCACCCAGATAATGTTTATTGTACCCATTATGTAGGCTTTTACCTAGTCCCTCCTTCCTTCTCACCCCTGCTTGATTTACACTGAACTTTATTTCCTTCTGTGCATGTATACTCATCGGTTAGTTTCAATTTAATAGCAAGTACATGTGGTGTTTGTTTTTCCAATCTTTAGACACTTCTCTTAGGATAATGGTCTTCAGCTCTATCCAAATTGTTGCAAAAGGCATTAATTCAGAGCAATATTCCATAGTACACATATACTACATTTTGTTAATCCATTCATGAATTGATGGACACTTGGGTTGATTCCACATCTTTGCAATTGTGAATTTTGCTGCAATAAACATTTCAGTGCAGGTGTCTTTTTGATGAAATTAATTATTTTACTTTGGGTAAATACCCAGTAGTAGGATTGGTGAATCAAATGGTAGGTCTATATTTATTTCTTTGAATATCTCCATACTGTTTTTCATAGAGGCTATACTAATTTGTAGTCTCACAGTGTATAAGTGTTCCTTTCTCACAAGTTATACATCTTATAAAAGGCTAATACAAAAATCTACAAAGAATTTACACAACTCAGCAAGGAAAAAATAAACAACTCATTAAAGTAGGCAAAAGACATGAACAGAAGTTTTTCAAAAGAGGATAGACGAATGGCTAATAAACATATGAAAAATGCTCACCATCACTAATTATCAGGGAAATGCAAATTAAAACCATCATGAGATATCACATTATCCCAGTTAGAATGGCTTTTATTAAACAGTCCAGAGCCTGAGTACTGTTAACAAGAAGTTCATGGTGAAATGTAGGAGTCAAAGAGACCATTATCTCCTGCAGGAGAAGGAAGGGCTCACACAGATGAGCAGGGGACTGAGGGCATCATTATAAGAGCTGCAGAGCTCTAGAGACATTTGAATACTCAGCAAATCAAGTCTGTTATGTAGAGTAGGGAAATCTGATATTCTGAAACATTTTAGAGGGACATCAATTTGGATATCCCTAAGAACATTGACTTTGCAATTTCCTTGAACCCTGCAGGCTTACAGAAATGGTTCATCTTTCCTTTGCATAACTTAGCACTTACACTGTGCTAAAAGATGCTTTAGAAGTTGTCCCCATCTTTACTCATGGTTGCCAGGCCAAAAACTAGGATTAAATCCCAGCATAATTTCCCTGAGTATGCACTAGACTTGAAAATATGTCTACAAAATTGACATATTTAGCTGGCATGGATTTGGAGAAATGAGGTAGAAATGCCTGAGTTACTCTGGCAGATGGTAGAGGAAATAATAAATAGGCTGATAAGGTGTTTGTGCTAAAACATATATATCATATAAGGCCAGAAGACACACCAAAGGGTTATATTCAATGGGAAGACTCAGTGGAGGCAATATTCATGGAAGCCATAAGAAATGTTATGATAAGAAAGGAACAGGCATCACTACGTGTGTTGATGGCTCTCTTCTAAAGAAGAGGATGGTTCCAGAGGCAATCACAACACTGTGCTTGTTATCATCCATGGAAATCAGAAAACAGCAGGAGTGGCTATACTTCTATCAGATAAAATAGATTTAAAGATGAAAGCTGCAAAAAGAGATAAAGAGGGTCATTATATAATGATAGAGGGGTCAATTCAGCAAGACAATATAACAATTTTAAATATATATGCACACAACACTGGAGCATCAAGATATATAATGCAAATATTATCAGACCTAAAGGAAAAGATAGATCCCAATACAATAAGAGTCAGGGACCCCAAGATCCCACTTTCAGCATTGGACAGATCACCCAGACAGAAAAGCAAAAAAGAAATATTGGACTTAATCTGCACTATAGACCAAATGGACCTAATAGATACTTATAGAGTGTTTCATCCAATAACTGCAGAATACACATTCTCCTCCTCAGCACACAGGTCATTCTCAAGAATAGACCATATATTAGGCCACAAATAAAATTGTAAAAAATTTTTAAAAATTGAAAATATATCAAATATTTTCTTTGACCATGATGGAATAAATCTAGAAATCAATAACAAGAGAAACATTGGAAACCATACAATACAAACACATGCATATCAAAAAATATGCTCCTGAATGACCAATGGGTCAATGAAAGATTAAGAAAGAAATTAAAAAATTTCTTGAAATAAATAAAAATGAAAACACAACATATCAAAACCTATGAGATATAATAAAAACAGTACTAAGTGGAAAGTTTACAGCAATAAGTGCTACATCAAAAAAGCAGGAAAGCTTCAAATAAATAACCTAAGGATGTGTCTTAAAGAACTATAAAAATAAGAGCAAACCAAATCCAAAATTAGTAGAAGAAAATAAGTAATAAAAACCAGAGTAGAAATAAATGAAATTGAAACCAAAAGAAAAAATACAAAAGATCAACAAAATGAAACACAGATTTTCTGAAAAGATAAACAAGACTGACATACCTTCAGCCAGACTAAGAATAAGAGAGAGAGGACACAAATAAATAAAATTAGAGATGAAAAGAGAAGACATTTCAGCAGATACTACAGAAATTCAAATGATTATTAGAGACTACAATGAGCAACTATATGCCAATAAATTAGAAAACCTAGAAGAAATGGATAAATTCCTAGACATGTACAACCTACCCATATTGAACCAGTAAGAAATCCAAAACATGAATAAACTAATAACAAGTAATGAGATAGAAGCAGTAATGAACAGTCTTCCTTCAAAGAGAAGCCCAGCACCTGAGGGCTTTGCTGCTGAATTCTGCCAAACATTCAAAGAAGAACTAATACCAATCCTACTTAAACTATTCCAAGAAATTGAGGGGGAGGAAGTACTCCAAAATTCATTATGTCAGACCTGTATCACACTGATACCATAACCAGACAAAGACACAACAAAAAAAGAAAACTATAGGCTAATATCTCTGAAGAATAATGCACTATTTCTATTAAAGTATGGCACTCCAAAAGTGCTCAGTATATTCCAACGTGGCCTGATAAATACATAATACTATTTGTTTTAAGTACTCATTTAAGTCCACTACTTTTAGGATAAAGCATGACATAATTTATGCAATAGAGTCTCAGTTTATGCCTTTTTTCCTGGTGTAATAAACCCACTCCCTTTTGCTCTTAAAAGAGCCTAGTTTGAAAAATAGACCATATAGTTATTCCATCTAAGCTTATGTGCTTAGTTCTATGTGAGTCATTCTTAACTCATTCCTATTCTCATAAACTGGGATATCTTCGGACTCATAAACACTTTTTAAAGCCCCCCACCTCATTTTTCCTGTATTTCCATTTTTATCCTCTTCCTACTAGAACACTACTCAAGTCTTCATTCACATAGATGATTTCTTTTTATGTGATCCTTCATGAAACACTATTTTGTGTCTCTTCACAGAATTTCTATGCTATTCTCAAGTCAACACATTGATAAAGTATTGTTGGGGACATTTAGATATGTTCTAAAGCTAAGGATTTTGAATACTCTCATTGTCCAAAACCAATGTTTTGAGTTCCTTTAATCTTTAGTCCTTTCAGAGACTCAAATGTTAGATTCACAATAAGCACTATCAATTCTGAGACTCTGGCATTTCAGCAATTGCCCATTGGTGCAAAAAGACTTGACTTTGCACCTGATTAGCATCTCATATCTTAATTTCTTTGTTAATTCCTGAACAGTGAATCCCCTAGCTTAGTGCCCATGCTGGGTTAAATGGTTAGAAGCTGTCCTCTAATACAGCATATCTCATGTAAGTCTAATGTCCTAACACATCTTCATGTAAGAAACAAAAGAGTATAGGCACTTAGGCTAACCAAAATTGCTCAGAAATTAATGAATATATAGTGATACTTCATGAATAATTCAAAATTGATGTTGGATGCCTCAATCTTTATCTGCAGAACAATAAAATCTTTTAATGTGACCACATAACATGTAGTACAAATAGGAATGGGGTTAATTGTTTACTTCTTGGAAGCATGTACTGCACTCTCACATTCTGCCCTGCATGAGATCTTAATGCACAGGTGAAGCCATAGAATAATGTGAATTTAACACCTTGCTTTGAAGAGAGTGTAAAAGAGAGAGACTCTGACATTATGCTGGCCGTAATTAAAGCAGATATATTTCTATACAAAGTAGAATCAATAGTGAGATAGTGCAAAGGAGTGTTGGGTAACAAAATGTCACAGATTTGCCAATTACTGGCTGAGATTTGGGCCAATCACTTGACCTGCTAGGTCTCAAGTGACTCAAGTAAAAATTTGTAACTATGTTGACTTTAACCATCCCATAAGGTTTCTTCCACCTGGAAGAGTGGTATAGATTGTTAAAGTACTGCTTATGAAGAGAAACAGTCTTTGGTACCATGATCTCTTTAGAATATCAGATGGCATGTCAGTTTTAAGAATGTTTAATTGCTTGTATACAGCAATTAAAATAAAATGAAACTAACAAACAAGCCAAAGACAACAACAGTGATAGAAGTCCAGTTAGGAGACTAGCAGGACTTAAAGTAGTTTCATTCAGCTTGTATCATTCATGCCTCCCATCCTGTCTTCTAGACGCTTGGAGAATTCTCGAACACCAGAGCTACAACACATGTGAGCTGTGTGACTTTACTTCCCTATGTCTAAGCATCCCTACTATGTTTATAGGTAAGGTTGTTTAAGGATTGATATAATTAGATGCAAAAACCTTCTATGAATGTTTGCTATTATTATTGTTTTCTAGTCAATGCATACGACACACTCATATGGATTATCATACACAAAGTTGAACTCATAGTAAAAATAATATTTTCCATTTCTATAGTGATCCAAGAAATATGATAAACATAGCAAAGTGCAATTTTTTCCATGTTATATTAAGCTAAGAAAAGTTAATTTCCAGTGGTCATGAAGTTACTATGAAATTGGGATTTCAGTACTTTGCTGATGAATCGTGTGTAACATTTTTTCAAAATATTATGGTGATTTATATCATGAATTATGTAATTGTTCACATATTTGAATCTAACAATTCCACCTCTGCAAGTATATCCAATGGAAAAAACAGTAAAGATGGAAAAGCTATGGATATATCTGTCCATGGCAATATGCTTTGAAAAGATAAACTAAATAAATGACCTTAAACCAGGCGCAGTGGCTCACGCCTATAATCCTAGCACCCTGGGAGGCTAAGGTGGGCGAATTATTTGAGCTCAGGAGTTCAAGATCAGCCTGAGCAAGAGCAAGACCCTGTCTCTATCAAAAAAACAGAAAGAAATTAGCTGGACAACCAAAAAAAAAAAAAAAAGAAAAATATATACATATATACATATGTAAATTAGCCAGGAATGGTGGCACATGCCTGTAGTCCCAGGTACTCAGGGAGGGTGAGGCAGTAGGATTGCTGGAGCCCAGGAGTTTGAGGTTGCCGTGAGCTAGGCTGACACCACAGCACTCTAACCCAGGCAACAGAGTGAGACTCTGTCTCAAAAAAGAAAAAAAATGACCTTACTATCCACCAATAGTATAATAAAATGAAATAATATATATTTATTTAAATGGTAATAATTGAAATGTCACAACATGAGAAACTTGAAATAAAATTTTTAAAAAATCACTGTTATCACTTCAACTCTAGAAGTAGCCATGTAAAAAAGTACTGGCAGTCAAATTGTAAGAGTACTACTTTTGTTATCCAAACAAGGTTGTAAGTGATTTCTTTCTTTTTTCTGTGCAGATCAAAGTTAAGGAGAGAGTCATGAACTTTGATCAGTTGGTCCTGTGGTGTATCTTAGTATCTGTGGGTAAACAGGACACATTTTGAAAATTCCACTCTAGCCCAACCTCCTCATTTTACATATGAAAACACTGAGGCCCAGAAAGTTTAATAACTTGCTCAAGTTCAAACTACATTCAATTTTTATTTGTGACATTTGCAAAGCATTTCTTAAAACACATTAAAGTATGGACCAATTATAAAGATGAAGGGACCTTGAACAGGGGTCTATGATACCATTTTTAAGCAAATCGTGCTTAATTCACCTCATACAAGATTCTCTTCCATTTTTGAAGAATTCAGAATCACCTCTCTTTGCTGAAGTCAACATATAACAGATTTTACTATTAGAGCTATCTTTCATGTAACTGACTAAGCCCTCATGGCCTTGCTTCAACATATTTTATTGTGTTATATTATCATAAGACTACATAGGTTATATATGGTATTAGAAAATAGCTGGTTATTATTGTTCATGAGAGCCCTTGATCTACTTGAAAAGTATAATTATTAAATTACTTCTGAAAGATTTTTCCAGAACATGAAATTAATATAAGGTATATATGTTGATTAATGATGATCTTTATAGCTTTCAGATAAATTTCTGACTTTTCAAACTAACTCACTTTTTAGTTGTGGAGCCTCAAACTTCGTACCTCTCATGAACAACCTGGCTACTGCTCAGTCCAATAGATAATATAATTGTTTTGTCAGTCAGAATAGGCATTGTGACTTTTGTATCACAGTAAAATATACAGCACTATGGATTTGTTTTAGGTTTTTCTACTTGGATATTTTCTATCACTTATGTCTCATACTTTCACCAGTTTCCATTAATTATGTCTCATATATCTGACTAATCAGTTTTTTATGCTTAAAAATATGAAAAACCTGTATCTGGTTTTATGGAAACAATTTCTTTATTTCTCAAGTTCTTTTAGAATTATTATAAGTATCTTTGCACATGGAATCTATCAAGTATGAAGCATAATAAGAAATTTGGGTCATAGCAGAAGAATAGGGATTTGGGTCTAAACTAATCTCCAAGAAAGTTGACTTCTAATCTCAATCCTGCCACTGACTGCATACATGATCTTGGACAAACACTCAACTTTTATAAGTTTCAGATTCCTTGTCCTTAAAATGAATGGTTTCATTAAGATATTTTGTATATTTCCTATAAATTTTCGCTTTTTATAAATGTATCACTGAATAACTATATATTTCCCATGTTATGAATCATACTTGTTCTATTACCTGTTCTATTTTTTCTACACACAGAGATTTATATATTAATTTCAAATATTCTTGAATCATTTTGAACAGTGAGTGTGATCTTTTTTCACAAATATATGCACACAGATAAGATATATGCATTTTGATAGAGCCTGGAGAGACCAGGTAAGAAAATGACGAATGTGGTTGCACATGTATTTCATAGATACACATATATACTATAGAATGTATATAGATTGACTACCGGCACATACTTTGTACTCTCATTGACTCCTACAAGTCATATTCCCAGAATCAGAACATGACAGCCATTTAAATGTATGCAGAAGTCAGCAATGCAGGAAATTAAATAAATAAAAATCTCTAATCAAACTCTAATTCAGTGTTAGCACATAAAGCAAAGCTGGCAGGTCAGCGGGAATATTTGCCAGTTTTACTACAAAGTGGATAAAAAGTAATAGCCACTTATTACTGGAACAATTTTGCCCATTTCACATTAAGATGTAAAAATTTTATAGCAAAAATTTATTTGCACGATGTAAGTTAGGACAATGTAAGTTAGTTAAACTGTACTGGAATTATTTTAGATTAAGTACATACTGTTTAAAATGGCTTTCTATGGGAACAAATGATTCAGTGGTAGAATTGATCTGACAACATATTTTTACTAGCTACTCTTTTGCACAGGATAGAAGAAACAGAAATTGAGAAACCATGCCTGGGAATCCTATGAAAGTTACAGGAGGTAATAAAAAGTTGAACAAACTTCCATTTGTTCATTTTCAAACAGCTTTACAAATGTATCCAGAGGCTGGAGAACTAAGGTTAATATAATTTTTGAATGTGGAAAAAGAATAAAAAAATTATTGGAGACCAGGAGCGAGTCTTATGTTAGTTGCATGTTTGTGGTATTTTATTACTATCTGTGTTGATCACTGAAACTCAGTGCTTCTATTTACAATAATTAACTTATCATTTAGTTGTTACCTTTTATGGTAGATATCTTAAGTAATAATTTAAAAATTAAAATAGGCATCTAGTATTAAAATAGTCACACATAATTGCCACTGTAATGGTTATCTTTATGTGTCAACTTGGCTAGGCCACAGGACCCAGACATTTGGTTAAACACATATCTAAATGTTCTTGGGAAGATACTTTTAAATGAGATTAACATTTATATCAGTATACCTTGAGGAAAGCATATTGTAATAGGTCTCCATAATGTAATAGGCTTCAGCTGATCAGTTGAAGGCATTAAGAAAAAAGAATGAGGTCCCCCAGAACAGGGAATTCTGCTTCCAGACTGCCTTTGGACTTGAGCTGGAACATCAGCTCTTTCCAGGGTCTGCAGTCTGCAGACCTATTTTTCAGATTTTGGACTTGCCAGCCTCTACAATCATGTGAGCCAATTCCTTAAAATAAATGTCTTTATCTCTCTCTGGGTAGAAACACTTGTATTGATTCTGCTTCTCTGGAGAATTGTGGCGAATAAAGTCATATACCAAAACTCATAAAAAAATCTTGTACCACACTCTTATGGCTGACACTAAAGCTTGGCCAAATCAGTGAGTTGGCAAAATCAGGAAAGGGTCTGTTGTGGTAGACTCCCCAACTTTCCAAGGATGGAAGTTGGGAGCTGCCAGGAACATATCTCATCATAATTGTCCTAATAAGCCCAGGGTGGAGCACAACCTCAAAAGCAGTTGGACTCAGTTATTTAGGGATTTATGAGCCATAGTTTTACACCTTGAACTTTATCTAAAGTAAAATGGGCAATTATTAAGGAATGTGAAGCTTTCGTGTAACCCAAACCATTGAGCGATTACTCAGTCATTCTGCTTCCTGCCTCTAACTTTTGGGTGGTCTTCATGGGAAGGTCCCAAGGAGAATGGCTTGCCATAAACCAAAATAGAATAAAACAGTTCAAGGAATAAAGTGTAAGTGGTCTGTATATTGGAGTACAAACAAGTAGATTGTGAACAATAACCAAAGACTAAAAAACGATGCTAGTTGTTGAAAGCAAACTTTTCTGTCTCACCCTGTCTTCTTTCATGTATCTAAAATGTTAAAACTTTCAGCATTTTCTGTTTTTAATTATTTTGTCAGTTACAAAAATAATTCTAAACATTATTCTTTTACCTCTGAATTCCAATTGATCAATATTACACATTATCTACATGAAAGATGGGGTAGTAAAATGAAATATGTTATTTTCTATTTTAATTCTTCCTTTCTTCATTTGATCAGCAAGTTAACTCTTTAATTTTTCTAGTAACTATATCCATATTTAAATCATAAAGCAAACTTCTATATTTTATTTTCCACTATACTTTCATCTGCATATATCTATATTTTCCTCTCCATCCCCAGACAAATTTTAATTATATAGATTACTTTACACTGTCAAATTTTATACCATTTCTATTCTGTTTTGTTACTGTATAATGTACATAAACATTGAAAAACCAATTGCATTATTTATATTAGTGCTCCCCATATTACTCAGTGAAGAATCAAATAACATATCTTATAACAAAATTTAGGAAAATGTGCTATATTTTCATCTTATTCATTTTGATTCATCTTGGCCAATTCTTGTTTTACCTGAAATTTTAATGACTTGCTTTCTCTGTAATTTTTAAGACAAGGAAGTTACCCTCTTCGTTATATAGCTAAAAATGTCTAAACTCTTAATCATACTGTTTTCAAAAAATTCCTTCTTTCTTCACAAAAGCATTCAACTAAGAGCCCCCTGGCTTCCTGTTCTCATTTATATTGATTATAGTTCATGCCTGTGGCCAAAGTTAGTCTGGGATTTCTTTTCCTTTTACACTTCTGGGGGAGCTCCATTTCTTCATGCATCCTGCAATATTGACTTCCATAGATTCCTTATTCTATTTGCTGGAGGATATCAAATAAGTTATTATTTGCAAGGGCGTGTTAGGGTATTATTGCACATTATTTCATGCTTGAAAATCACTCTTAGGCCTTCATAATTGATTAAAGATGTGATACCTTCCGAGTTACATTTTCATTTGCTCTGCAACTGTATTTCTTCAATGATATACTCAAAACCTCCAGTTGAACAACACTTTTATTTTGTCCAAATCCATCTTCTGTCATCCCTTTTTTTTACTCCATATCTTATCCAACTCAGATCCCATGATCCATCATTTTAAAGACATACCAGCCAGCAATCAGCTCCCACCTTCTGTCTTTTCATCACATTTATTCAGTGAAAACTCAAACCTTGACAAACCCTATCTCTATTCTCCGCCCTTAAGCTCAACTGTTTCAGCATAAGTGGAGAAATTCATATATTATATTACATAATTATAACATCCTAACAACACAAACTTCAAATAACTTTTCCCTTTGCATTTTGTTTATTTGGGCATGATCTCCTGGTGGAGAAATTCATATATTATATTATATAATTAAAACCTCCTAACACAAACTTTAAGTAATATTTCCCTTTGCATTTTGTTTATTTGGGCATAATCTCATGACTGGATTCTTCCCATCAATAATTAAACATGCTCAAGTGTCTCTCATCTTAAAAGTTAGCCACTGTCTCTCCTGAGCATACATTTCTTTCATTCCAGCTCTCAAGTTCCCATCTTTGCTATAATCTTCTCATGTAAATTTAGGTTTTCTTGAATCTGGCTTATTTTACAGTAATATCTATCTGCTTTTAGTTCTTCAAACAGCTATCTGCTTTTAGTTCTTCAAAAGTTCATCAAAATCTCTTCAATTCCATTCTGAATATTGTGGATTTGGTAGCTTTTTACATTCTTCTTAATAAGGCATATATAAGGATGAAAATAAAAGCATGTTTTCAGGTGACTATTTGTATCTTAAAACTGCATAAAGTTTGCATCATTAGAGAGTTTTATTGCAAAGAGAAAATGAGGAGACACCTTAGGCCATAAATTTGTTCTTTAAGTGAGGCAACTGATGTCAAAACAAACATATGAAAAAGCATGGCACAATCAAAGTATTTATATTAAAGTTGCTTTCAACTGAACATAAGTGCAACTAAAGAGTAATGAAAATGGAGATCACTGTGATAAGAATAAAATTATTTTTTATTTTTGAAAAACTGTAAACTAGGAATGAAAAATGCTAATTGTGGAAGTGCTTTATATCATTAGTATATTGCAGAAACTAATTTCTATTCTATCCTCCCTCTCCAATACTCTGGTTTTTCTTTAAATTTTTCACATAGAAAATTCTTGTCTAAACCAAGGTAAATTAAACAACTAGTAGTTTCTCCTTTCAATAATTACATTTTTGCTTCATTCCTTATAATATATTTTACTCAAAATGAGCTCTGAAAAGTATTTACATTTGAAAATTATGGAAAAATTTTGATTGAAAAATGTAAAATTTAGTAACATTGGTGTTACTGAGTATTCCCAGTCCTAGTGTTTACACGGGACAGTAAAATGATAACAAGATGCAGAATTTATACATACATACATTATACATACAATATATATATACAATTTATACATAAGGTGAAAATAGTGTTTCAGGAAGAAAAATATACTAAATAACACGTGGTTCAGTATGATACCACTTTGGTTAGAATATATTTTTCACAGCTTCTCACATGCACACAGTAAATATGCTTTCTACTAAACTTTTTCATTATTTCATTTTAAGAGTTAAATTATTTGGAAATCAATAACTATAACAAGGGACTGTGAAGTATTGATCAGCTTGTCATGTGTCCCTGTAGGAATTTAAAATATAAAAAAAATATATACATATATGATTCCAAGACCACTGGAGTAACTAAATTTATTAAAAACACATAGAAACATGTGGCTTCATTTAAGTTATTGTGTTATATTTTTTTCTGAAAATCACATCCCCGAATTATTTTGGTATTCTTATATGAGAATAATAATTTAAGAAATCATCCTCTGAAATAACTTTCTCATTCTATACTAAATTCTATTTTGAATATTGTACTTAAAGAAGCAAAATTTTATTGGGACTTCTAAATAACTATAACTTTATTTTTTATGATTTAATTTCCTAATGTTATTCAAGAATCTTATTTTCTAAAAATCTAATAATTTTTCTGTTATATTGTAAATTGCTTATCCAATCAATACTGTATATAGTGGATCCATTCCTATTGAATTGATATCACGACTTAATACTCTGGAGACCTTCTTGAATGGTATCCTCAGTGACTGATGAGACACTGCAAAATATGAGAGAATGTTTGTTACTTGAGTTACTAAAACACTATGGATAGGGTCCAAGTCTTACCAAATCCCACCCTATGCTTAACGATTCCATGGAGACTCCCTTTAATCACCTTCCCTTGGTGTATACAAAATCGATCTATGAAAAATCACTTTTATGAATTTGACAGGGAAAAAAAAAATGTTGTTCTTATTGCCTACTACTACTGGAGTATGTTTCAGCTTGTACGATTATGCCTAGTCTGCCCCTAGAAACTCTACCACTTCTTGAACTTAAACAACTGGTCTATAGTGATTAATGAAAGTTTGAGGGAAAAAATGATCATTCCAAAAGCAACCAGAAGTCACCCAGCATTTTGTAAAGTGTTCTAGTTTATTATTATTATTTTTAAGGAGCTAATATAATTAACTCTAAAGTGTACTCTGGGTAGAAACTACAGCCATGAAATTATAATGCTTATCATGCCTTGACATTGAACCTCATAGAAAATATTTTCTTGCCCTCTGCCAAGTTCTTGAT